GACTCTTTTCACTAAGTTACTAAAATTACTATTTTATTATATTTTCAAAATATGAATTGACATAAACCACTCTTATTATATACCAGAACATGTTTCAGAAGATTATCTGTCCAGACTGAAACTATATAATATATACGGATAAGAATGTGGTGGTTATATTGTGTTTCTGAGGCAGTTGTTGGTAACAACAAATCTATCCATGAAAATCTTTGAGACACTTTCTCCTTCCTTCCCTGTAAATTACAGTTCCTTCTTTCTCCATTGTAGCACCTGTAACTACCCGTCAAATCCGCACAATCTTTGAGGAAGTCCAGGATGGGAAGGTGATCTCCTCCCGTGAGCAGATCACCCAGTCCGCCCACTAAGGTGGCTGCGTGGTTTGCTGCAAACCTCGCATAGCAAAGCAAAAGGAGATTCCAGCTTATGTGCTCTGGCTGTGTAGATGACGAAAAGCATCTTCTCTTTTTATCGCACCCCTGCTTCCCTCACCCTCTCTCTAAGCGCTGTGCTGCACTCAGAAATCAAATAAAGCTTTTCTGCGCACTCGTGCAAACCAGGGTCTTGTTTTGTTGCTCTGAAGAGCCAGGCTGTCCCACTCCTCGAGCTGTAGGACAAAGCTCCTCTCTGGAAGGAGCAATATTCTCCATCTTTGGTACCCAGGTGGTGGGGCCAGTACACCTACACTTCTATAACACTTGAGACCTGGCTGCATCAGTGAAGAGAGCTGATGTGGGTGGAGGTCTAGAGAGGAACTGGTTACCTGGGTCGTGGGAGGTGAAACTTGTGAGAGTCTTTGTATTTCACCTCAGATCTGGCACTGTGACTTTCAGATGGGGGGAGAGTCCTTCTTCCCTGGCTGCAATGTACAGCAACAGCAGAGCTGAAGCTTTTAACTCAGTGAGTCTAAGCAAGAAAATGAACAAAAACCGGGTCACGCAGCCAGGACCCTGCAAACGATTCCCTTCCCAGCTCTGCCTCAGCAGTTGCCGTGCAGTCCAGATAACAAGCTTTGTGGTAAAACAAAATTAAGCCGTAGATGTGGCAGCAATACACTGGCTGACGCCCCTCCAGAAATACAAACTCAGATTAGTGTAATTCTTGCTTCCAAAGGCACCGCTGAAGGGTGAGGAACACAAGTGATAGTAAGTGGTGGGTATGGTCTATATAAGCAAAAAGATTAAAACTCTTCAGGGAGTTATTTCTGGCACTCCCTGGCTGTCAGTGGCTGTTCCTGATGCAGCAGTTCCTGTTGCCGTCAGCTGACCCAGCCGTTCCTGGAAAGCCAGTTCAGACACATTCTTGGCTGGATTGTGCCATATTTATTACTTCATTAATCCAACTTCTAAATCGATGGGATGATTCAGAGAAACGCTACTGAATGTGTGTAAGAATAGAGCTGGCTACACAGTTTTAAGACCCCTTTCAAGAACATCTGCCTAGATTTTATGGGGAGACAAGAGAGAATTCAGGGTTTTTTTCAAAATGTGGAAAGGATCCCTGGAGTGCATCACCTACACCACAAGCCGAGGTAGCATGGATGCACAGTCTAGAGGCACCCTGTGCTGCAGCCATCCATCTCTGCCCGGTGTTGCCTGGGGCTGTATCCCCCCTGTCCACGCAGAGCAGATCCTCTGTGACCTGTGCAGGGCATCAGCTGCCCTGCGCACCCTGCACAGCAGCCCTGAGTGAGCCGCCTTAAAGTGCTCCCAGCACCCACAGACTTGTGGTAGACATGGCTTTGGTTTTGGAGCTTACCACTGATGAACAGTGATCTCGTTTCCACTCAGATTCCACCGAAGGACGTGTAAACACAACCCAGTAAGGGAGCACTGTTGTCAGGAGAACGACTCCCACCGCTATGACACAGCATGGCCTCGTGGTGCATCGTGGACAGGCCACGAGTAAATAACAGGGCACAATTCCTGACCCGAGGCACTTCCAGCCACCGCATCTCCGCAGTCCTACAGACTGCGTTCTCTGCTCCCACACCCTTGGACTTGGATGAGGGAGCCCTGCGCAGCACAGGGACTCTCCCCAGGGACGCTCCATGCCCTGGGGCTGGATGAGGGCAGGCGTTGGGCAGCCTGAGCTCAGATGCCCAAGAAGGGTAGGGACAGACACAGCCCGCAGCTAACACCTGGGGCTTCCCAGGTCACCTCTTAGGGATCCCCTGTTCTTCCCAGGGATGGCGGTCGTGCCCCTCTGGTTGCCACCCTTGTGACACCCGGCATGGGGATGCTGAATGTGCCTTGCTGGAATTCATCCTTGCTTTACATGTTTCTCCTGGAAAGGTCTGGGCACACCCGTGTCGCTATAGAAACAACAAATAATACTTTGCTCGCAAAAGCCCCTGTTTTAATTACTCATTAACAGGGGATTTTGTTAGCAAAGTTTTATTACTCCTGCTACTGCAAATTGTGAGAGGTGTGGAAAACAGATGTTGATTCCCTCCTGCCTTAGGCATTAATAATTAATCTGACCTTAAGAAATCCACTGAGGAGGGAGCTGCAGGTGGTGGCTTATGCAGACAGGCAGCGGCAGCTTGAGGCAGGTTTCAGAAAGTGGTATTTTATTCCAGAAAGACAGTTTGACTTCTCAGGCTACACTGAGTTAATCTGACACAGACCACCACTTTAGAAAGAGACGTTAAGGTGTGGCTTTTTAGCTCATTTCAGGGAACTTTCCTATGATAATTTGATACTAGAGCAAACATTGTAAGTGCACTAAAACAAACAGAGAATTGTTTTTGTCTGGGTAGTTTCATCTACTGGATCTGCTGATATGTATGTTTGGAGCCAGAACTTCACCTCTCTTTTCCTCCTGAAATAAGACAGTATTGCACACTTAAACACCAATGCGCTACAATGAAATTACTGTTATGCCATAGAACTGGCATTCTGATTTTGAAATGTATAAAAAATGGGCTCATAGTGTGCATGTGCTCATGCAACAGAGGCAGAAGCTGATTTAATAGTCAGCCTTTTATTTAAAAGAGAGCGTGATACAAACAATATGCAGTCATTTGTGGTTGTGTTCAATGGGAGGTCATGTAAATAGTCTTAGAATTTTTAATATGTCGTTTTAAGTCTTAATTATCACTTCATGATTTTAATTGCTGTCTTGTGGTATTATCAAAATATCGTAGATATCTTGAGCAATGCGTATTTTTATGACACAGCAATTAAACAGGAAACAAAAGACAAAAGAAAAGGCAATTTCATGTAAAGAAAGAATATGCTGTTAACCTTGTAACGTTGTGACAGTTACTCATTCTACAGCCTGCCTGTGGGAAGCCGGTTACTCCTGCCGGCTGGCCAGTCTGAACGGCTTTGCTCATGTCAAGACTGAGGGTTTGGACTTGCACAGGGGCTCTGTGCTGTTTTTGTCACCGACGTTCCCCTTTCTCTGTGCCACCGCTGCACTCAGCGGGGACAGCCTGCGAGTTCCGCCCTTTTGTATCACCCAGGTGAAGGTGAGGAAATGAAAACGGGGAGAAAGCACATTCCTTGGAGCTACGCGTCCCACCACCCCCGCGCTGCTGCGCCTTTGCCATCCGCACCTGGGGAGGACAAGCAGAAAGTGGGCGTCCGCTGGCTTTGCGCCCCGTCTCCTGGCGCTCACGCGACAAGAAGATGCTGCCGCCAAGAGATTGAACCCATCCTCCAGCCAGAGCAAACACGGTGGAGATTCCAGTTCTCCAGTTCTCCAAGTCGTACAGACTTGTCTCCATTCACCAGTGGCAAATGGGAACTTGGGTAGCTGTGCTTCTCCATAGCAGCCAACTCCTGATATTCCAAGGACACACCCCACTCCTGTATTGTTTCCAGCTTTCTTCAGATAGAGGGGAGGCAGTCATGCCCTTTAAAGCTACTCACAAATGTACCCTTGCTGCTTATTTCCATACTCTTTCCCCCCTCCTTTGGCAAATGATCTAAGGAAGAACTTGGCTGTTGGGAAGGGGTTGTTGAGGCCTGTCTGCAAAGACAGTCAAACAATTCACCATGTACACACATGAGAAATATCTTCTCCTCCACACCCTGCATTATTAGCTAGTGACACTCGATTTGTGGTTTCTGCCCATGACGCAGGTCAGCATGAAGAACAGATAGTGGGACTTGACCATGCCTGGTGCACTCATTTTCGGAGCCTTTTTGCAGAGGCAACCAGTATCTCTCCTGAAGCTCTGTTTACATGGGAGCTGTAAACTCCAAACTCACACTGAAGTTGTCCTCCGTGGTCACAACTGATTGAGATGTTCATCACAGAAAACATTATGAGCATTAGCTGCTAAGCTATGTTACTGTCAACTTTGCACTCTTGTTCACAGTGCTTAGAGACCACGAGCTTTTTGACTTACATTCTCCATCTACTTTATGCTCTTCCACATTTTTTCCTGGAGCATCTCATAATTTTTAAGTTATGCTAGCTAGTAGCCATACCCTGCCCTTTCTGAGTGGTTTGCTAGGCTCTCGTTCACAAAGAAGAACACAAAATATCCACTGCTTATTGTCTTTTCATATTCCTCCACTCTTGGGTGGTCTCTGAAGCAAAGTGGAGAACTGAATGAGCCCTGAAGCATGAACTCTTTTTTCATTGCTTTTTCATTACAGAACGTCCTTCTCTCTGTGGATAAAAGAGCAGACTTGAATTTCCAGGATTGGTAGCCAAGTTCCTTCTAGCACCATTGTACTCACGGGACTGTAGATGTACATTCAGGGCTTCATGACACGGCTGTTATCCCTGAAGGTGAGCTGTGTGTACAAACTAAGTAGAGACAAGAAACTCTAGTAGCTGGGACAAAAAGACACAGTAAAAGAGATATTGACTTACTCCATCGAAATGCTGTCTGAATAGCTCTGCTTCAGAGCTAACAGTACAAAGCAGTATTAAAATGTAGCCCTGAGCAAGGAGCCTCCTACTTTGAATCACACTTGACTATTTACTTAGAAACGGAAGAACCATAAAGACGCCCTTTGTGAGATAAAAAGGTTCCGTGGAATATGACAAAAAACATTAATAGAACAAAGGCAAAAGTGACGATTCTGGAAGTTGGCTCAGATTTTAGGAGTGATGAAAATCATCGGGAATGCAACAGAAAAAAAAAGCGCTGGCAACGCCTCCTGCCCGGGCTATAAAGGGCTCCAAGCCAGGGGGAAGCGAGCACTCACTCTCTGTGCTGCCGAGCCGGGTGTTGCTCTCCAGCCCTACAGCCTCCGCCAGCCTTCGCCATGAGCACCACCACTGTCAGGCAATACTCCTCCTCCACCTCCCTCAAGGGCTTCGGTGGCCTGGGTGGAGGCTCCAGCAGGCTTTCCTCCGTGCGTGTTGGGGGAGGAGGGTACAGAGCACCCAGCGTCCACGGAGGCAGCTACTCTGTCTCTTCCCGCATTGTCTCGGGGCTTGGAAGTGGCTACGGGGGCAGCTACTGCAGCAGCGTAGGAGGGGGCCTCGGCAGCGGCTTTGGGGGTAGCTATGGGGCTGGCTTTGGGGCTGGCTTTGGAGGTGGCTTTGGAGGTGGCTTTGGAGGTGGCGATGGCATCCTCCCGGCTGGCGAAAAGGAGACGATGCAGAACCTCAACGACCGCCTGGCTGCCTACCTGGACAAAGTGCGTGCCCTGGAGGAGGCCAACACTGACCTGGAGGTCAAGATCAGGGAATGGTACAAGAAGCAGGGACCTGGTCCAGACCGTGACTACAGCCCCTACTACAGGACTATCGAGGAGCTCAGGAACAAGGTAGGATGCTGTGATTACCAAGACATCTTCACTAAAGTCACTTTTAAAAAGATGACCCTGCTCGTAAAAGCCGAAGGGAAGAGTGTTAACAAATGACAGGTAATTGGTCTGTGATGGGAAAACAGAAAGAGCATGCTTGGAAATCATAGTCATAATTTATGAACAGCAGTTTCTTGATCATGTCCTCCACAAGGCACAAAGATGGGTTTTCTACTGACTGTTTCCGTGTAGGGAGAAAGATGGGGCAGGAATGCAGAGTAAGGGGCTATCAGACATTGGTTCAAGTTACCTGATGCTAAAGGGTGCGTGCTGCACCGCCAGTCATTTCCTGCCTTTCCTCGATGCTACTTGCTACTTATGGCCCACGTATATGGTCCCTTTGCCAGACTCCTGATTAAGCACTCTGCAGGTAGGGACACGTTATCTCTTTGGCACTGTTCACTACTGAATGATATGCAAATGGACATGCTAAATCATTCCCTTAAATATCCTACAAATCAGATCTTTTCTAGCCTGATAGGAGGCTCAAGGTAGAGGTTAAAAAAAAAAGAAACTGCCGTAGGGGATAGTTGTTCTTTGGGAGGTGCAAACACAGACACGAGTGAAATCCAGGAGTCAGAACATACTGGGCTGCGGTAGGTGGCTTCAGAGGTGCTGAAGTCAAGTGTGTGCCCTGCTCTAAAATGCAGCAGATGAAATCATGGCCAAGCTTGTTTCTTTATTCTTAGCAGCTCTCTGGCTCATTTTAGGCAAAGGTCCTTGAGCAAAAGCACCAGAATCTGTCTTCCCTTCCTACCCTGCCATTGCTGTCCTCCCTCTGCCCACATTACTCATCATGAGCTGATTGCCTACTGGAGGTGACAGCATCCTTAGTAAGCTCAGGTTCCACTGGAGAGGATGGAGGTGTGGGCGGTTGGGTAATGACAATACCTGGTCTGTGAGAGTAAATGCCAGGGAAATGGGGCAGCAGCCCATGACAGGCTCAGGGCTCAACCCCTGGGGGAAATCACATACCTAGAATTTTTCAGTTCTTTAACCCTTCTCTTGGGCTTCGCCTTGGGGTGAAGGTCTCTTGCCCTGATGCATAGAGCTTCTCTTCAAATTCCAGCTTATCAGGTGTGCTCTGATCTGGAGCACAGATACATGTGGAGGCAGAAGCTGTCTCCAGATTTGAGCAATGAAGGGCTGGGTCTTACAGAAACCCTCTGCTCATGATCCAGAGGGAGGCAGACCCTTCCCTCCCCTCCCACGCGGCAGCTGGGAAATTACCACATCAATATTCTGGGATTATTGCTTGGATATCCCCTGAAGCATCAGAACTCAGTGAGAGCTTTTCATTAGCTTGTGGCTACAGAAATTACTGCTCATTAAATGGCCAATCATTTTCAAAATCCCAGAACAAATATTTGCACCTCAGGTGTAATTACAAAAGCAAAACGATTCAGGCACACGGCACTCCTTCCTCCACCCTTTTTCCATCTCAGCCAGGCGGTTCAGCATTGCCAGACAAAGCCCAGAGTGCTGCCAGGACTCTGAGTGTGGTGTGAGCGCCTGGAGATGCCACTCTGGCAGGGGCGACAGGCTGTGGCATGTGTGCCTGCCAGTATCTTCACAAGACCAAATCAGTGCCAATGAGAGACTGAGCACGAGTACCCTGTCTCTCTCTCTGCAGAGTCTATGTGGAAGTCCAGCCCAACGGGCAGGAGGTTCAGTGCTGCTCCAGTCCTTCTGGATGGGAACTCAGGCAGCAGCAGGCCATTTTTTGGAACTACTTTTTCAGTCTTTCACTCTCTTTTATTCCCTCCCAGATTCTTGCTGCAACTGTCGAAAATGCCAACATCGTCTTACAGATTGACAATGCCAGGCTGGCAGCTGATGACTTCAGAACCAAGTAAGTCCAATGCCTTCAAGAGCTCTAGTGAGAAGGGAGGGAAAAGCCAGTCTGTTTAAGGCTCTTCTTTGCTTTCTGCAACTGAAGTTGCTCCACCAGGTCACTGCTCACTAGAAGAGTAACATTTGCAAAGAGTACATCTCTTCCTGGGTACAGCATTATCTTGACATTCCTGCACTGCAGAGAGCTGTGCACGCACATTTAATAAAAGATGGTTGGCAGAAATACGCCAAGCTGGGGAAGGAAACAAGAAGAAAAAAACCTGTATTAGCTGGGCTCCACGGTGCAACTGTGTGTCCCCCCCGCAGGTTTGAGACGGAGCAGGCTCTGCGCCTGAGTGTGGAGGCTGATATCAACGGCCTGCGCAGAGTCCTGGATGAGCTGACCCTGGCCAGAGCTGACCTGGAGATGCAGATCGAGAACCTGAAGGAGGAGCTGGCCTACCTCAAGAAGAACCACGAGGAGGTGAGCACAAAGGCAGGCTCAAACTGGGACCTACAAATATACCTTGTGCCCAATGGAAAGTGGTTTGGTCAAATGTGCAGGAGTGTCTCTGCAACCAGGGCTGTCAGGAGACACTCGGGTGGGTAAGGGGGAGGGAAACAACCCTTTCAGACAGGACGTCCAGGAGGTCTGTGGCATTCATGTGCTGGTGCAAATAAGAAATTTGTCATGATGGGAATATACTGATTTCACTCTGATGTGTGTCATGTGTCTCTTTTGTGCCAGGAAATGAATGCCCTGCGCGGGCAGGTGGGTGGAGAGATCAGCGTGGAGATGGATGCGGCTCCTGGAATCGACCTCACCAAGATCCTGGCTGAGATGAGGGAGCAGTACGAGAGCCTGGCGGACAAGAACCGCAGGGACGCCGAGCAGTGGTTCTTCAGCAAGGTGAGCTGGCTCACCGGCAGTGCAGAGGGGCGCGTGGGACCTGAGTCTGTGCCCACTCGCCAGTGCCATAATGGCATGGTTGTGCCGTGTTGCAGACGGAAGAGCTGAACCGGGAGGTGGCCATCAACACCGAGCAGCTTCAGAGCGGCAAGACGGAGATCACAGAGCTACGACGCACCATCCAGAGCCTGGAGATTGACCTGCAGTCCCAGCTCAGCACAGTATGAGGGGCTGGCTCCCTGCGGGGTGGGGGGCACGCAGGAGCGCAGGCGAGGGGATGCATGGGTGCTCCCATCCCTGCCACCCTCTGTCCCCCCCTGAACCCGTTCCTCTCCTCTGCACGCAGAAAGCGGCATTGGAGGGCACCTTGGCTGACACAGAAGCCCGCTACGGCACCCAGCTGGCCCAGCTCCAGGGGCTGATCACCAGCGTGGAGGAGCAGCTGGCTGAGCTGAGGTGCGACATGGAGCGCCAGAACCACGAGTACAGGGTCCTCCTGGACGTCAAATGCCGCCTGGAGCAGGAGATTGCCACGTACCGCCGGCTCCTGGAGGGCGAGGATGCCCAGTACGTAGAGGGGCTTTGCTTGGGAGGGCACATTGGGACGAGATGGGTAATAGACACAAAACGTGCTGTCTCAGGACTCGGTCCAATTGCAGGTTTCAGGGTTTGTCTTTATGTTCATACCAGCCACAGATGCCCAGTGGCTCTGTCCCTGGTTTCTGTTTGCAGTGAGATGCTGTAACAGGCACCTTTCACTGCTGGAAGGGTCAGTAGACCCTCTGCCCTCCAGGAGACACTGCGTGGAGCAGTAGTTTTAGCAATGACTATGAGCCTTTTCTGTTTTCCTCCTGCCTGAATACAGAGCCTGTGTAACAACAACAACAACAAAGAGATTGTCCCTAACTTATTTTTGTTTTTCTCCTTCTCTTGTAGCATCTCTTCCCAGTACTCCTCTGCTATGTCCTCACACTCTGGCAGAGACGGTAAGAACCTATCTTGCTACACACACTTATAACGAAGAGCTTTGAGACCTGCTTTTAGAGCAGCTGCCAGACTGATGGAGTCAAAATCACTCCTCGGGCGTGCTGTGCCGCCTTGCTGGCTGAATCAGTGACAGCAGTTAAGAGAGCTTGTGTGCATCTTACAACTGCTAACCACAGGAAAAAGCTGTCAGGAAGGGAAATATCTTGCGCTCGTTTACCACAAGAATGATTTGCCCTAAATGGGCCTTGTGATTGAGCAGCCAGTGTTCTAGCTTTATACAGACCTGAAAAATCAAGTGACACCACACATTTAAGCAGTGTGCCTTTTGCCTTCTTGAACCTTCCCATCAGCCTGGCTCTCCCTTCTTCCTAGTCAATGTAGGCTTGTTTAAAACAGTGTTTTCCAGTACTTTGTGGAATTTCTGACATCTTCCTGAAGAACATGCAATATCTGATAATATGTTAAGAAATCTCTCTCCCTCCTGCCCCCTGAATAATTGTCCTCCTCTTTCCTTTTGCAGTCATGACATCTTCCCGCCAGGTCCGCACAATTGTTGAGGAGGTGCAGGACGGGAAGGTGGTCTCCTCCCGGGAGCAGGTTGCACTCACCACTCGCTAGGAGGGCCAGCAGCTCTATGGACCCTCGACCCCAAGCTCAAAAGAGCAGCGAGCTGAACCAAGCACTGTCTGAGGCCGTATGTGGTTGGGTCGTGTTACAGAAAGTAGTCTGCTTCATTCATCTGCTCCTCCTTCCTGCTTTACCCTAATTTCATGCGGGTGCCATCATGCACTCTGTACACATTTAATAAAGTTTTTTCCTCGTTCATGCAACTGCAGACTTGTCTGTCACTGATACATGATCTCTCAAAGCCTCAGGGTTGTGTGTTCATGCCAGGGAAAGTCCTAAGTAACCACAAGAAGCAGCCAGTGAGAGGAGGGGAATAGAGGGATATGGGTTCCACCTGGAGCAAAAATAATTTGTGGCAGTTTTTTCTACTGAACTCATTGCTTGTAAATACATGGGACCGACTGAGACATAAACCAGATAAGTTTGATACAATATGAAGGCAATGATGGAAGGATGATGTTTGAGGTCTCAATGTGCCACACAACTCCTAATTAAAGCCAACAAAATAAAGCTCAGTTCTCTAACTCTTGGTATCATAAAGAATCACTTTCTCCTGTAAGTAGAACTTAAATGACTTCAGCAAGACTACGACTGTCATATGTACCATTCCGAGACATGAGCACAACACCAGACTGGTAGGCAAATCTTATACATACATGCCTTCTGTGTTATTTGACTGCCTTTAAATCACACTATTAGATACATTGTACAAAAAACTTTATACAGGTCTTTTCATGCTGCCTGAGGGCTGCACTTAACAGGTTCTAAAGTAACCATTGCTTAATCCGCAGAGGGATGAGTAGCAATAACTTTTTTATCACTATAGCATCCAGTAGATCACTGCTAAAATCCTTCCTGAAACACACGAGCTAGTTATCGTATGTCAACAACGTCTGCAGGCAAGCTGCCATTCAGGATTAGGTGACGCAGCTTGTGCGCTGGCAGCCAGGTACCTGACCTGCCTTTGCCCACTCATTTCCTGGAGAGTGACAGAGGAACCAAAGGATGCTGCACTGGTCGCACATCCACTGAATGTGTCTTGTGGGCTACATAGGAGAGGAAATAATTTTAGACCCAAAAGCCTGATGGAATCACTTAGATCCAACTTCATACTTTCTAGCCAGTGGTACTTGGGACCTCTATCCAGTCTTGGACCGTGGCCTCATGTTCATCACCCACCTCAAGAATTTGGGCCTTAGACAAAGGGAAAAGGTAATAGTTTGCAGTAAATCAACTTCCCTTTGCTTATAATGATGTACAAGGGGCTTCTGTGGCTGAAGTTAAGCACGCTTGTCTGTTGGATTATTATTGATGATTCATTCTCCCTCAGCCTCCACAAAGGCATTATGGTCCTTATTGAACAATTACAAAGGTATGCTCCCTGGCCTGAACAGACTCTTGAAAAGAGCTGATGATGTCATACTGGGCATGACAAGACAAGCAAAGGAGACGGAAGGTGATCGAAGAAGTGGGGAACCTGCCAGGTCTTTCCAGAAAAGGGAGTGTGAAGAGATGTTATCATTCTGTATTATTGTTTAACAATTACAGAAAAGGGTAGGAAATGAAACACAGACCAGAGTGCGGAGTTCATTGACTGTATAATGCTGTTCTCTTTGCTGGAATAACAGACCTTCCTTGCAGAAATAGGAAGTCTTCCAAGCCAAGTGAGCTAGAGCCATCTCAAAAATAAAAACTAGATCAAGCAAAAATGTACTTTAGCATCAAGCTGTCTTAGACTTTATGGCAATGGGCAAGGTTGCAGGCTGGAAATTCTGATTGAACAGCAAATGTGCAATTTTTTTTTTTTTTTTGCCATCAGAAGACAGTTATATTTCAGTTGTAAGTGGCAGTTTTTTAACTCTTGAGCCATCTGTAGCATGCCCCAAGTGTATGAATACAGAAAGGCTTTCTGAAAACCGCAAACATTATGGATTAAATATAAGTAGGAGGCTAAAAGAAGATGCTAGTCCAAGAGTATCTGGCTGTGCTGGCAGCACAGTAAGGCATGGCCACTTCTGCAGCCAAAAGGACACAAGGGAGAGATTTATCAAGCAGCATATTTAATTATATTTGATATCTGTCACCCAGTGCTGAGATACCCATTTACATCTGTCAGCAGGAGCGGCCTGAAATGAATATCTGAAAAGAGCTGGGAGAATAGCTGGGAGAGCTGATGGAAGGCCCAGGTTTGTAATCAGTTTATTCAATTCCACTGGGAGTATCTTATCAGGAGTTTTCCTTATTCACCAACATATATTTGCATCAATGAAAAAGGCTTAAATTCTGTATAACCCTATTACCACAAACAAAAGAGAAGTCCAAGCTCAGCACAAGTAATCACTGTGTTACATTACAGTACTCTCAAGAAGGAAAATACCTATTAGGCAATTTATTTTTTATTATTACTCTTTGCTACACACAGTTTGTATCTGTGAAACATGGACAAATTATCACATCCAAGAGATGGAAAAACACTGGTTTTGGAGAGCATTTTTCAAATTTTCTGCAAGATGCAAGCACAAGAAGAAAAGTCTTGTTAGGATTCAGCAAGGAGTTATAGAAGCAAGTCCTCAGCGAATAATGCTGAAACTTTAATGGACAACAAAACAAAAAAGGAAAACCAAGAATGTCCTTGAAAGGTATTTCATCGGCTGAGACACAGAGAGAAATATGTAGGATGTGCCAGTGTCAATATATAATAGCAAGTATACTTACATACAAGAATAATACTTAAAATGAGTATCATGTTTCCCATCTGTAAAGCTCTATGTTTACATCAGACAGTTGTTTTTACAGTGCCCTTGAGAAGGAGGATTACTGTCATTATTGTTTCCATCCTACAAAGCATGAAATTGAGACTTGGAGAAGCTGAACGATTTGCCTAGAGTGATTTGCAAAGCTAGGATCAGAACCCTGGAGCATCTGCTGTCATCAGTGAGGTGGAGATGAGTTTTGGTACAGCCAATAACACACAGAAAAAAAGTGGAATGACAATTACATCAATAGGTAGATAAGCAAATGTTTTGTAAATAGCAAATACAAGAATTTTCCATAGGTGAAACACTGAAATGTAGCTGACAATGAGCAGACAGGAGCTAGGGCTGCTTGTAGTTCTCAGTCTACATCAGGGCCTCCTGATAAGGCTCTCCAAGCCAGAGGCCAGCCCTGCACAGGCTGGAGGGACATACACAAGCCCAAGTTGGGGTGCTTTGGATGCCAGACAGTGTCTGGCTCTCAGCTTCTCTCCCCTGACACTCCCTGGTGGTTGCTTCAAGCCCAAACCTGAGCTTGGACTGGCAGTCATGTGGGGTGATGGACAGCAGCTTGGACTCCAGCTGGGACTCAGGGTTCAGTGTTGTGTCTGAGTCACCAAGTCTCGAGGGAAGTTCTCTTGGACGTGAAAACAGCTAGTGACTCAGGGAATGTTTGCAATAACGTGAAATGCTGGATCCCCTTCTTGGGGGCACATTATACTTTCTGTACTTCATATGCATTAGCTTAAGAAACAGTCTTAAGCTTTAAAATATCCCAAGACTACCAAAGGACTTCCCTCTAGGGAAATCTAATCTTTCTTTCTCATTTCCATTGCCCTTTTGCATCTGATAATTTTGTGCAGTAGAACAACCCTTGGGAATAATGCCACAGTGCCCATCCCCTACCACCATCCCACTCTCCTTTATAAAGCACAGTACAAGACGCAAATGTAAAGCTGAAGTATAATTCCTTTCTACTTTACACAAAGCTCATTAAATGGGAACAGCACCTTTGCCTAGGGGAGGCTTTTCTGCTCATTTGTTACTTGAAGTAATCATTTTTCCTTGTGAGGCCTGCACTGCTGTTTCTGAAATGCCTGCCGGGAAATCCTCGAATTCTCATAAGCCATCATTTCCCTCCTTCTCTTACTCCCCTGGGGCACCACGTTGCCCGCGAGGGGCTCCCAAGTCAACTGAGGACGGCTCATTAGAGGTGTTGCCTGTGGCTGGCTACAAGGCTGTGGTGAGCAAATTTCCATCTGTAGATTGCAGTCTGGAAGTCAATAAAAGTTAATTCTGGAAAGAGCCTTCCATTATGCATGTAGATACCATCATTAGCAGATCTCCTCATAAAAAAATGAAAATCTCTTTTAATAAAATGAGTACTGTAACTGCTGGCAGATCTTGAGGTATGCTCTGGTGTAAAAGCAAGAGCTGGTTTTAATAAAAACTTCAAATTTTGGAAGGGAAAAAAGCAACCATGAAGAACACACAAATCCAGTAAAATCAGGAGTGAAATTATTATTCTCCTTTACAACAGCTGTAGAAATTCTAATGACCTTTGGCTGCAGAGATCTATGGTAAAGTATGAAGTTCAAAAAGTAAGAAAGAAACATGGACATCTCTGATTACTTTTCAATAATTGAAAAAAACCCCACTCAGTAACATTTCAATTTTTCTCATTGAAAAATGAAGGACTATCAATTAACTGCTGCTGGGCTGCTGGGCTGCTGGGCTCCATGGCAGAGGTGCCTGATCCTGACCATGCCACAGCTTCCGCTCAGGATCTTGCCACCGATGAGGCATGCCATGGTACCATGGCACAGGCTTCACTTGCCAATTATGGATGTAACAAAGGATGGACATACACAGAATCCACACCACATTTAAGGTGTTCTGGATTTGCAGTGTCAAGTTAAAATCAAGACTAATGAACTTTCCCAAATGGCATAAGCAGTATTTCTGAAACAGGCTGCACCTGACGCATCCTTTATGTGATGTGTCCAGGTGACCTGGATGCCAAAACCAATGCTGAACAACACAGGGGTGAAAGTCAGCCAATATTAGCATGGCTGTATTAATATTATTAATAAAATGAAAGATTCAGATGACAAAACATTTTAATTATTTCCCTTCTTCCTCAATTCAGCATTCCAAGACTAAAAAATAGGTTTAATATCTTTTTAAAAATGATCTTTTCTAGTGTTTTTTCTAAATTTAACACATTTCCCCTAGATTATTTGGAGAATTTCCATGGTGCTGGTTGGAACTGGGTCAGAGCTATACAGAACCCAGCTACTTCTGAAATTCTCTGTGTTACTGTTTTAGAAATATTATGAAACATCTTGTGTGGCTGTCCTCTCTTGGCAGTGAATATTCATAGTTAACTGCAACATTTGGTACTCAGGAAATATCCTTTTCTCTTTTATTTTGGATAAATATTTGAATATTTTGTCTACTCTCAAAAGCAGCAAAACAAATACCATGGGATCTCCCCTCTGAAAGGGGGTGTTTTGATGCATGCAGGAGAAAGAAAAGTAACAAATAGTCACTGGTACACTCAAGTACACTATTCTTTTGTGTTCTCCAAAAGAAGAGCATTTCGAGGTCTAATGACCCAGACCTTGGCAGGTTCTCACTCAACTGACAGCCACGCAGAATGGGACAGACCCTTGCTGCGGTGCTCTTGCAGACAGGCAGCACGGTCCAGGGTGGTCTCCTGGCTCCGGTCCCAGGGACTGCAGGGCACCTGAATGAGGGGGCACCCTCACTTCTGGTCACAAAGGGGTTGAACAGGGTCTGTCAGACAGGACAGCTTTCCCACAGCTTTCACTTTCCAGGTAGACTCGCCCACGTCAGGGATGGATAATTGCTATGGTGTTTCATTCCCCGGGCACTCTCGGGTATCGTCATTTTTTGTGTCACTGTTGTTTAGCTGTCATCACAGGTCAGACCTGATGATTCAGGAAGTAACATTTTTGATGTAGTTTTGAAACACGCTTCTGTTAACCAAAGCATCTTTCTGTTGTGGGATTTCTGGAGACAAACGCCTTTGGGGAAATATTTCCAGCTGAAAAAAAAAAACAGTACTAGCCAGGTCACAAGGAGGAAGAATAAACAGCCCTACTCCAGTGGCAACATCCACAAGGAATGGTATAAATAGAGGACTATGGGGACAGAGGGATCACAATCGGCTCCCGCAGTGATCTGTGCAGTTTGCCTTGGGCTCCGAGTTGGATCCTTGCGCTCTCACTATGAGCTGTGCCGTCAGGCAGGTCGTTACTGCCTGTTCCCAAGGCAGAAGCAGCGCGGGCAGCTCTGCAGCTGGTAGTGGAAGAAAGGTCTCCTCCGCTTCCTCAGGAAGACATGCTGCCTATGACTTAGGTGGTGCAGTTGGCAATTTTTCTGGTGGCAGTTTAAGCGAGGGATTACTTGGGAAGCAGCTGAGTGCCGGCAGTGCTACTGGTGGAAGCTTTGGAGCTACCCAGAGGGCTTGTTCTACCCTTGGATTCAGCAGTGGAGGCATCTGCACTCGAAGCGTTGGTGGTGGTTTCACCAGGGCCAGCGCTGGTTGCGGTGATGGGATCTTATTTGCTAATAACGAAAAGGCAACGATGCAGAACCTCAATGACCGCTTGGCCTCCTACCTGGACAAGGTGCGACTCCTGGAGGGAGACAATGCTGACCTTGAGTGCAAGATCAGAGAGTGGTATGCCAAGGTAGGGCCCAGCTGCGAACCACGGGACTACAGCTGTTTTCATAAGGAAATCGAAGACCTTCAAAACCAGGTAAATAATTGTTTTTCAAGAAAATCCTAAGTATTTCTTTGGGCTTTGCTTTCACATGCGGATAGACCAGTGTCAAATGGCAGAGGCAACAGCTATGTCTCTGGAGGTGCAGATGAAGAAATACTTTATATGAAATGGGCAGTTTGAGGGAGGAGAACGCTGCATTTACAGAGAGCTGAAGTTTCAGCAAAGCCTGCTCCAACAAGCTGGCATGCAGGTTTCCCCACTGTAATGCCATCTAACTGATTAACAATCCCAGTGTATGGAATCATTATAAAATAAGTGGGTTGCATTACCCTGGGTAGGTGTTTCCTCCAGGCCCTTCTGGAGCCAGAGGAAGCTGCAAGCCCGAATCTCTCTTCTGCGTTTTCTTTTCCAGATCCTGTGTGCAGCCATGGAGACTAACAAAATCCTTCTGAATATTGATAACAACAGGATGACTGCTGATGACTTCCGAGTGAAGTGAGTATGGTCCTGTACTGGACTGAGGGGTTCACACTGCCCGTGGAAGGGTAGGTGAGCAGTAGTGATGGGGAAATCCTAACCCTTTGCTTGTCATGCTGCCGTATTAAAATGCAGATCTCTGTGAAAGACGTGGATACCATTGACAATGTTCATAGCATTGTGTGCCTGAAGTGAAAGAACTTGATCCTAAATTATTTCCCCACAAACTCAACTCAAAGGCTTGCCATGGTTTACTGACATGCTGACCTTTCTTTGTTGGCTGTGGCTTAAGGTACGAGACTGAATGTGGTCTCCGGCAAAATGTAGATACAGACATTTGCAACTTACGCCCAGTCCTGGATCAGCTGGCCAGCTGCAAGACCGACCTGCAGCTGCAGTGTGAGGCTTTGACTGAAGAGATGTGTTGTCTCAAGACGAACCATGAGGAGGTTAGATTGCCCCTTACTCTTAGAGAATTAAGAAGAAAGAAGAAGGGAAATCCCCCCAAGTGTCAGCATTACTGATATGGTGCGTGTATTCTCTGCAGGAAATGAACTGTCTGAGGAAACAGGCGACCGGAGATGTGAGCGTGGAGGTCAATGCCTGTCCTGGCCCAGACCTGAGGAAGATCCTGGAGGATCTGAGGTGCCAGTACGAAACGCTGATGGAGCGCAACCGCAAAGAGACTGAGCAGTGGTATGCCTGCAAGGTACTATATACATGCAGAGCTGTACCCTACTCTACCTGTTGGGGGGAAAGGGAAAAATGAGAGATTAAGAACATTTACTGGAGATGTCTTAATATCAGCAATTGTGTCACAGATGTGCTCAGCATCTAATTGTACTGCCCAATTTCAGTGTTCTTCTGTTCATGGCAGACGGGCCACTGCATGGTGTTACAGGGTCACAACGGAATAAATGGGGGGGCTTCAGATTTGGAAATACTCAAGTGCACTGCAGGGCTTGCACACGCAGTGTAGTGAAGCCCCTGCCACAATGCGATGCTTTGGGGAGGTGAGGAAAGGGCTGCTCTTTTCTAACTTTGCAGGTGGAGGAGGTGAATCTGGAGGTCATCACAAGCAGCCAGGAGATCGAGTCAAGCAACAAACAGGTCACTGAGCTGAGACGTCAGCTGCAGGCCTTGGAAATCAATGTACAAGCCCAGCTCACCATGGTAGGTGATGCCACTATGATTCACATCTCAGACTCCCCAGCTCTCTTTAGAAAGCCATATGACCAGAGTCATACCTGTAACCAGATGGGCTAAGCTTGCAGCATACCCAGGTACCTTTATATTGTTTCCATTCTCAGAAAGAAAACCTGGAATCCTCTTTGGCGGAAACTGAATGTCGCTACAACAAATACCTGGCTGAGCTACAGAATCAGATCTCCTGCGTGGAGCAGCGCCTGGCTGAAATACGAGCAGAAATGGAGTGCCAGAACCAGGAATACAAGACCCTCCTGGATGTCAAATGCCGTTTGGAGCAGGAGATTCAGACCTACCACTGCCTGCTGGAGGGGGGACAGCACGACATCATGTACGCAGACTACAGACAGACCCGGGCACTGTAAAATCTCTATGCTTTGACTCACAGGGATATGAAAATTTGTGATACAAATGGTAAAAGCAACACTGTGGTGAGGAACCAGTACTGACCTGTTACCAGACAGGGCCTCTCAGCAAACCACAAGGCATTTGAGGATTTGGCTCTGATGAATGTCCAGAGTGCAAGCCAGAGACCATTCCTCTAACTTGGGCCAGTGAAGGCGGCTGGGAGAGGCCCCCAGAGCTGTCTGAGCCACCTGAGCAAGGTGCAGCATCACAGCTTGTTGAAGGGCGGTTTCACTGTGAGCTGGGCAAGGTTTTTTATTAACACTGTCATTTAACTGAGCTTTATAGGCTTTGCCACAGCTAGACAGGATTAGGGACTGGCAGTTAAATTAACTGAAACAATAAATCATCTAAACATTTTCAGTTTCACACAACAATTTTAATTAAAGTTTTGGGAAATTTAATTTGTATGCAAAGCAGTTGGCTCTTCCCTGCCTCCCATTGACTGAGATTTTGAAACAGTGAGCCATGCTGTTAATCTCATAAATGGCTGCATACACACATAACCAGCCTGAGCACCCACCTGCTCCATTAGTTTGGAAAAAGAGGTATTTTAATGGTGGTGCCTTGAGGTGGGCTCTCCTGGACTCTCCAGTCCTAAATTAGTTACATGAAAAATCAGGTTTTGTTCCAAAACGCCAGTTACAATGGATGAAATGACACTGTCAGAGCTTGTCTCAGAGCCTCTGGTAATCCTGAGCGTGTCGAGATGGAAAAGCAATAGCTGTCAACAGACAGGCGGGATGGAGGGTGTGCTAATTGTTGTTCTTATGACCCTCATGGTTCGAAGGGGAAGTGGCCAATAGTGACTGAAGAGACACAGCTAAAGCCAATGCTCCAGGTCACGGGGCAGATCTCCAGGGCGTGAATGTCGGGGACTGTGGTTACCAGAGCTGTCTCCTTTCCACAGAGGGCCAGTGGGAAGAGGAGCCCCTGCAACATCAGCTGGAAGAGGCGGTGGGCTTAAAGCCAGCCTGTGTCAGCCATGCCTGCCCTAAGCCTGTGCTCTCTCGGTGAGGATGTGTAAGGTGAGGTGTCCTCTAGAAGCCTGTGAGTGTGACTATGAGCTGCTTCTTTAGTCCTGCTATGTACCTGGGGGAGGGGAGGATGAGACATCTCCAGGCTTTTCTAGGTGGTAGAGTACGGGGATTAATTAGGCTATGGTAGAAAGCAGTGGCAAGGGATGCAGCTATAGGGCATTTATAAACTTATGCATAGAAAATATGTTTGACACTGGGGGGGGTACTAGTAGTAAATGTGTTTATAAGACTTTCAGCACAACATGAAAATGAGGAACTGGGAGGGGGAATCAGTCACGAGTCTTTCAACAAGTATATTAAATTAAGCAAGCTAGGGAGAAGAGGGAAAAGAAAGGTCAGTACAAGAGCAAGGGGGATGCAAGACAAAGGCATGGTATGCAGACAAAACCCCTGATAAAGTAATACTCCCTGCTCTCCCTTGGCAGGTCACTGCAGACAACAGAGCTTCCCTGCCAGCCCCACTGCACATCCCCCTGAGGAGGTCTCTTGAAGAGCAAACCATTTGGAAAAAGCAAGGCAAAAATGACCTGACAGTTCTCAGTTCTGCTTATAGCACCAGTCAGAAGCATCTTTGCAGAATGGCTGCCTTCCTGCCACCCACGCTGCCTGCTGTCTTCATCCTCTGATGCTGCTTTGATCCGATCCCTTGTCTTCACTTGGGCTAAACTGTTTTGTGGTCAGTTGTCTAACAACTACCAAAGCTTGTCTCTAATAAAACTTTGCTACTACTGACACAGCCTTGAACCTGAGAAATAATTTCTACAAGTAAATTAACAATTAAAAATTGTTAAGCAGATAGAGTTATTGTACAATGTTGGTTAGAAATCCATCTTTGATCTATATCCACAAAGCAATCATTGCAAAGAAAAAGAAAAATAAGCAATGTTCCCATCTGCTGCACTGCTGCTGAATTCAGTGGCTGTAGGATGGAGGGGCAGCTGCAGGAGGATGGAGGAAAGGGACCAGCTGATGCTGTGGAAAGGGACATTTGCTACTGGAGGAGGAAGCATAAGCTAAGACATGAAGTAGAAGGTGATGAGGAAAGAAACATTCAGGGAGGCTGGACAGAGTGCAGGGAAGGGGTTTCAAGGCAGTCTGACTGACAATCTTCTATTGAAAGAGACTTCTGAGTGAAAATCGAGTTTTCATTAAAGTAGGTGTGTGCTAATATAATATAATATAATGTAATATAATAATATAATACACAACACCTTTGAGTTATTATGAATATGCAGTAACAGGATAAGATCAAGAACAATAAGTTTTCCCAAATAATACTGAAGTGGTAATTTTGAAAGCAAGGCTCTGCTGGACTTGACACACCCTTCTGGTACAGGAAAACAATTCCCAGAGAAAATGCTAAATAAAGAACCTTTAAATGGATTTAAAAAAAAGGCAAACAGGAAGAACCAGCTGGCAACATGTGGGAAGATAAAAGGGTGAGACAAATTAATATGTGGGAGAGAATTTTTTTAAAAGTAAGATACAATAAACAGCCAGAAAAAAAAAAGAAGATGCTGGTATTTTATTACCACAGAGAAAGGAATTACTAAGACATTCAGGGACACAACTGCATTTTGCTGCTTGTGCAAGCAAAGACTCAAGATCCAGCCTGTCCCATCTCACTGGTAGTAGTGTCTAACAAATCCGTCAGACAGACATGAGTGGTGCTTACAGTCTTTGCTCTTTATTATGTGGCTCTGTTAGCCTTTTTCTGTAATGAACTATTGGATGAGGTTTGACGACTAACCTTATACAGAGGTCTAACATGAAGGCTTCTAACAAGAAGACTTCAGGGGATACAATGAGTCTGAATTAGTGTCCATTTCTAAAGAAAGAAACAGCTCAGATGTTTCTGGAATGACAACACGGGACAAGCCAAAGCTTGACCACACAGAGCTATTCTCTTGGCAAAAATCACAGCAAAGATGGGACTTCTGTTTCTTGCTCTGGGTCTTTGCTCTGCAGAAAGCCATGTCTGCTCCTCTGTCACCTCTCATGCCCTAAGCTTTCAGCTCCAAGTCACATGTCATGTCTGTATGACTGCACCAGCACAGAGGGCCAGGGGCTAAGCAATCCACGGACTGGCTCCAGCTGTCCCTTTCGGGGATGGCCTCTCCCCAGTCTCTGTCCAAGTAACAGACACTTGTTAGCCCTGTGGGGGTAATTGCTCTAACGAGCTTCTGGACAAGGCTCAATGTTAAATACTTTCTCTGCTAAGTTCTGTATCTCCCATTCCTGCAACACTAATTATACTGCACATTTCAGTATTATTTAATCTGCCTGAGTGTTTATGTAGCACCTCTGAGGTCACTGCATTAAATGCTATGCAGAAATAAAAAGATGCCTTCCCTGCCCAATGAGTTTATAACCTGGACAGTGATGGAAAATGATGACTGTGGAAACAGCACAGGAAGAGACGGGGAAGAGAAGATAAATGAAATGCAGAGGATGCAGTGCATGGGACAACAGGACAAGAAGTGACCTGGGACACTGACTGCAGGCAAACTTCTATCATATTCCACATATGCAGCCACTCACACGAGCACACAGTGCAGCTTGTAAGAGCTCGTTCTTTTCTCTTTTAACGTGCAAATCTTGTAAAGCAAGAATGAATATGTCAAAGACAAACAGAGACTTAGGCTGAAGGTGTAAGATTGGGAAAGGAATCTAAGGATAAAAAGAGCAAGGGTGGGTACCCCAGAGAGAAGAGGGGGAGTTATATCAGCACTCAAACTGGTAAGCAGAAGCTATCAGCATCACAACTGGTGGCTGTAGATGAAATGTACTGTGGTTGCTCCAGCAGATGTGGTCTGTGTGTTACAGAGAGAGCAAACACATGTGAATTACAACACCATCAGAAAAAATCCCTGAGGAGTGAATATACCAGAGGTTTAAGACATCAGTGAAGAAAGAAAACAAGTAGTTTTGCAAATGGTCAATGCTGGAAATCAGCCACGAGTTAAGGACTGCACTGCACAAGCAATTATACCTGATTACAGGCACCATGCATTTTTAATAGTACGTCGTATTCTGATGTGATGTATAAACTATAATTTCTCTATAAAAGTCTATTTTATAAAGTATGCAGACAGGTACAGTCTCACTCACACCCATAGTAACTATCTGTGCGGTTTGTATTTTTGTTTACTGGCTTGTATAACATTTATAAAGAATTATATAGATGAGTAAATTCCTACTATAATCAAGCAGGAGATTTCTCAGCTCAGTACACTGAATAATATAATTTAAGCTGCCAGTATGAACCACATATTGAAACTGTGTTGAAATTAAGAGACATTTTAGTACAAATATGAAATAAAGATAAAAAGAAGACACTCTGGGGAGGCTCTGGCTGGCCTACACCTTTGGGTGCCTGTCTTTCTTGTACTGCTGTATGGTGTCTGAGCGCAGGAAGCACCTGAATACTCCAGTTCTGCTTGTCAGGTTCTGGTTTGACCCACGTGGCTCTGCCAGCAGGGACTGCAGGCTAAAGCCTTGTTTTTCATCCCAACCTGCACTGCACTCAGCTGTCCATGCAGGAGTGAAATTGCTGTAGTTTTGTTCACCCACCAGTATTCCCATCTGTCCTAATACAAATTCTCTGGTACTCTTCTTTGCCATGATAATCAGTAGTGTTTCCAGAGATGTAAATGCTGGGAAGTCTGGCTGCACTGTCATGGTCTGATAGGTGCTGGAAGGAAATTAAAACCCTTCACAAAATGACTCAGGGAAGACTGTGAGCTTCAGTAGGAAGAAATCTGTTTCTGCCCACCTCCATGTTCTGCTGAACTTCTACTTCATCACTAGCAAATGTTCAGAGGTAGTCTGAAGATGTGAACAGTCAGCAAGAAAGAAACTGACACAGAGTAATCACCTTGGTCTCTGAGGCGTATTTAAGACCTAGGATCATGCTGTTACCAAACTCATTGTGATAATTATTTCACTTGCCTTACAGGAATTTTGCTAAACATGGTGGTAT